CAGCTTGAAACTTGCACATCGATACAATCATAACACTTTATACCCAAAAATGATCAATAATCAGATTAAAAAATTTAAAATTTTAAGGAAAATTTGCTGCATTTTCCTAAATTTTGAATAATGTTTGAATCTTTGACAATATTTTATAGAAAAATAACAAAATTTGACCTGAGAAACCTTGTGAATATTTAAAAAATAAACACGTATCCCTTGTTCGAGTCACTGTTTCGAGTCCAAATTTCAATCTATGTTCAAAAATTCGACAAATTTTCCCCAAAATTTCTAACTTTTTTAGTCATGCATTTTTATTTTATATAATAAAGTCCACTTTTCAAACTTAATGCAAAAATTATAAAAAGTCAACAAATATTCACCAAAACTGGAAACCAATTCCAATCGTGCGGTATATTGGTGCTATTTTGAATAAATGTGAAGCTACCCCGAATGCGACTTAGGAGTGGGCATTGAAAGGTGAAAGATATTCATTGTCGTATGTACGTTCTGTGAGTATTCTATTTATTGTTTTGGTTTCTCTGGGCTCTAGAGTTTTTGTATAGAACCAGGACTTTTTGTTTTTTGGTTTTATAGTGAAAATTTGGGCAATAAGATTGGGTTTCATGGCCGAGAAAACGAGGAACTCATCGTACCATCAGGAGTTTTTAGCATTTTAACTAAGCTTTCCTCCGCATTTCATTTTAATTTTTTGGAAAAAAATTGCAAAATTACTCACCCAGAAATTTATACTTTTCAGCAGTGGTTTAAAAGATCTAATTTATATATATTGTTAAACGATTAAGCGACAACCAAAAAGCTAGTCAAGGGTATATTAATCTTCAGCGTAGCTGTACTTCAAGCATTCCAAATAACTGTGTGTTGAATATGCACTGCGTATTGTGAGCCAATAAAACTATATAAAAGCACGTATCACTGCGCCAATTACGGTTCCTCACTGAGTAGTTTTTTTAAACATATACCAATTTAGACTGTAAATACGTTTTTCGATTATATTGGTTTGAGAGCCTCTTGGATGCTGTTATTGAAATGTTAAAATATTAGTTATTATTTGCTCCATATGCAAGTGATCGGTATTTTCATCGCACACGCGCCATCATGTTCTGCACGACTGCATCATCGTCTTTACGCGATGCGCACAACTGCTTTGTTTTGCACTCTTCAATATGTTTCAAGGGCTGCTCTTACAGCCACAGGAACAAATAGCTTGCCAAACCCCATGTTGTTTTTTGGAAATTTGGACTTGCAGCAGTACAAAAATCTTGAATTTTTAAAGCAGTAGTTTTCGTAGTCCATAACAATGCAGTTGTATTTTTTAATTTGGAATTCATACAACTTCCGACTGCGGGATTTCGTTGTAACATTCTACTTTGCGCCTCAGTCTGGCGCTGTCTGAGCTGTACAACATCTCAATGAAGCTTTCCGCTTTACGTTTTGTACGAAAAACTGCGGATTTTGCAACATAACGCGACAAAACCTTCGGATCTAGCGGAAACGCACTGAGGATCTTCCGAGCACTGTTTTTATCACTTTGACCATGCTAACCTCCGCTCCCTGGTTTTGCTCTTTATATCTTATATAACATAAAAAATCAACAATGAATCCAATAATGCTCTCGACAACGCCATTAAAGAAATAGATGCATGGACATTAACATCACGAGCGAAAATACTATTAGAGAAAAACAAAAAGCTACACATCTGCAAAAACATCTACATATGTAACGCAACCAACTACGGCATAACCATACAATCCAAAACGTCGACCCGAACTCCGATTAATATTCGTCAACAACTACTCCTGAAATCGCCAATTCTCTTTACTAACAAAATCACTAGTGCCTAGAGTGAACCTCCTCTCACAACTCTAATACAAAGGATAAGGGGCATACCAACAACCTCATACATCTTATAAAACAATAGTTATCTTTAAGATTTCGCCCCCAAAACCTGCGTTCACACTAAGTACGGGAACAAAAAAAAAAAACCAAAACGTCAACGGGTAGAATCTTGCAACTTCTTTCTCTACATAACTCTCCAAAAATCGCTCCCATTTACTGGACTTTGGAGTACGGGATCATTTTTCCTGTAACTTCCGGTAAGTTCGTGTAAACACCTTTAAGTTCATGGAGTACTGGAACAGAGCTATTCTTAGCTTCTCTTACAATAGTAAAGCTATTGCTTTTACTTCGGATTGTGCCGCTGACCAAAATCAAAATGAAAAATTTCAAACCAACGATTGCCAAAAGCACTGCACATTTTAGTTGCGTTCCCTAACTCACAAGAAGTTGCAAGAATATACAGGAATTGACCAGAAAGGGTCCCCGTATTCGGTTCTCTGGCTTCTTTTGCTTTTTGACAGTTTTACAGGTTTTAACCCAGAAAAGATGGAGAACGCAACTTTTGTCTACAATCGATTTCTGCTTGTGCTTGGACTGCGACTGTTGTTTTGTCTCATAAGCGTATTATTATTATTATTAAGCGTAAAAACAAGCAATAAGACAATAGGTTCGTTCGCGTAGCTGTTAATTGTTCATGTTTAACCAAAACTTACAAGT